TCCCAAGGCAGAAATGACTATTACAAGGGGGCATAATTTTAAGGTGATTGGAGGAAGGTATAGGGGAGCTGTCAGAGGTAGGTTCTTCACACAGAGAGTGGTGGGCCTGTGGAATGCGCTGCTGGCAGTGGTAGTAGAGTCAGATACTTTAGCGACTTTAAAGCGACTCTTGGATAGGCACATGGAGGATAGTAAAACGTAGGGTACGCAGGGTAGATTGATTTTAGTCGGATAATAGGTCGGCACAGCATTGCGGGCCGAAGGGCCTGTACTGTGCTGTACTGTTCTATGTTCGATTACACATTACTAGGTCTAAAATAGCCTGTACCAGGACAGTTTCGGCACATACTGCTCTGAGAAACAATTTCTGATTTGTTCTAAAAGTTTGTCTTCCAGATTACCTATGCCCATATGATTTCTCTAGTCAATAAGCAGATTAAAATCGCTCATGACAATTGTAGTGCCCTTCTTACATACATCCATTATTTCTTGATTTATACTTTTGTCCTATAGTAAAGCACCTCCTTCAGAGGTCTAAAGACAACTGCCACCAGTGACTTATTCCCTTATTCCTTATTTATATCCAAACTGATTTCATATCATGATCAATTGCAGGTATATCACTACTCACTACCACACTGATGCTTTCCTTTAATTAACAGCACTTCCCTACCTCGTTTTCCTTTCTACATATTTGTTCAGAACATCAAATATGCTTGAATATTGAGTTCCCAGTCCTCATCACCCTGCAACCACATCTCCTTAATAGCTATCAAATCATATTCATTTATTTCTATTGGTGCCGTTAACTCATCTACCTTGTTACAGATGCTGCATGCATTCAGATAAAGAACGTAAGCTTTGAACTTTTACCATTATTACTCTCTCTAGTTCTAATTTCTGCTGCACTCAGCAAATGTCTCACTTTAATTATTAATTGCCTCTTCACTACCCTGTGCCTCTTCTGTTTCATTTCCTTTTGATTTTATAATTTCCCTTCAAGTGAACCCTTCTCCCCACTAATTAGTTTAAAGCCCCATCTAGAACCTTAGTTAGAATCCTCAGTGTGGAAAGCACATCGTGTCCACAATGAGCCTCTGAAGAGCATCCCACCCATACCTAAGCCCCTACCATATCCCTGTACCCCTACGTTTCACGTGGCTAATCCACCTAGTTTATACATCCCTGGTCACTTTGGGCAATTTAGCACGGCCAATCCACCTAACCAGCACATCTTTGGACAGTGGGAGAAAACCGGAGCACCCGGAGGAAACCCATACAGACACAGGGAGAATGTGCAAACTCCCACAGACAGTCACCCAAGGGTAGAATCGAACCCAGGACCCTAGCGCTGTGAGGCAGCAGTGCTAACCACTGAGCCATCACGCCACCCAAAAAATAAGACCTTCATAGTAACCTCAGCCAGTGCAGGAACTGAACCGACACTGTTGGCATCGTTCTGTAAAACAAACCATTCATCCAGTCCACTCGGCTAACTGATCCACATAGTTACACAATTCGCCTGGTACTGGTCCCAGCTTGGTTCAAATGAAGCCCAGCCCAACAGGGCAGCTTGCTCTTACCAGTGCCCCATGAAACAGGGCCCACTAGCTTTTGAACCATGCATATACTTCTCTTATCTTATATATCCGACATCAATTCAAACATGGCTCAGGTAATAATCTGGTGATTATTACCTTTGTGGGTCTGCTTTCTAATTTAGCTCTGAGTTGCTCATAATCCCTCAGCAGAGGTTTGTCATTCTTTGAAATTCCCTGCCCAGGCAGCAATGGAGGTCTGAGTCATGGAATATAGTCAGGGCTGAGTTCAATAGATTTTTGATCCATAAAGGAGTCAAAGATTATAGGTGACAGACAAGAAAGTGGAGTTGAGGCCTTGATGAGATCAGTCAGGATCTTATTGAACTGTGGAGCAGACCGGAGGAGCAGACCTGAGGAGCTGACTGGCCTCCTCCAGCTCCTAGTTCTTATGTTAATACAGCCAGGATTAGCCTGTATTGACAAACGCTTAAGGACCAGCTTTCAGGTCAGTTTAAAATACCAGCCTGCTATTCAATGAAGATGAATTATTCCCCCTCCCTTTTCCTGTAACAGGAAGGATATTATTAAACTGAAGAGGTTTCAGAATAAATTTACCAGGATGTTGTCAGGCATGGAGAGTTTGAGTTACTAGGAGAGGCTAGCTAGGCTGGGACTTTGCTCAATGGAGTGTAAGAGATTGAGGGGTAACCTTATAGACATTTATAAAATCATGAGGGGTATAGATAAGGTGAATGGCACATATCTTTTCTCTTGTGTGGAGGGTTTCAAGACTGGGGGAATATTTTTAGGGTGAGAGGAGAAAGATTTAAAAAAGACATGAATGGCAACATTTTCACAGAGAGTCATTCGTGCACGGAATGAACTTCCAGAGAAACTGGTGGATGTCAGTACGGTTACAATGTTTAAAAGACGTTTGGATAAGTACATGAATAAGAAATGTTTGGAAGGATATGGGTCAATTACAGTCAGGTGGGACTAGCTTAGTTTGGGATTATGGTTGCCATGGACTGGTTGGACTGAAGAGTCTGTTTCTCTGACTCTACGACTCCTCAGCTTCCCTATCCACGTCTTCCCTACTTGCAACTGTTCTGTGCTGCACATACTAGTTGCAGCAATGTGATCACATTCTCTGGGCTCCGGATGCTGCTGTGTCATCTGAAAGCATTCAATTCTTCCCAATTCCAGTCATAGAGTCATAGAATCATATAGCATGGAAACAGACCCTTCGGTCCAACCAGTCCATGCTGAACATAATCCCAAACTAAACTCGTCCCACCTGCCTGCTCCTGGCCCATATCCTTCCAAACCTTTCCTATTCATGTACTTATACAAATATCTTTTAAATGTTTTATTGTATCCATATCCACCACTTCCTCAGGAAGTTCATTCCACATGCAAACACCCTCTGTGTAAAATATTTGCCCCTCATGTCTTTTTTAAATCTCTCTCCTCTCTCCTTAAAAACGTGCCCCTTAGTCTTGAAATCCCCCATCTTAGGGAAAACACATCTACCCAGTTTTCCAGTTACTTGAGAAAGGATGTATTGGCACTGGTTACTTGAGAAAGGATGTATTGGCACTGGAGGGGGTGCAAAGAAGGTTCACTAGATTGATTCCGGAGTCGAGGGGGTTGGCTTATGAGGAGAGACTGAGTATATTGGGATTATATTCATTGGAATTCAGAAGATTGAGGGGGGATCTTATAGAAACATATAAAATTATGAAGGGAATAGATAAGATAGAAGTAGAGAGGATGTTTCCACTGGCAGGTGAAGCTAGGACAAGAGGGCATAGCCTCAAGATTAGAGGGAGCAGATTTAGGACTGAATTGAGAAGGAATTTCTTCACCCAGAGGGTTGTTAATCTATGGAATTCCTTGCCCAGTGAAGTAGTTGACACTACTTCAGTAAACGTTTTTAAAAAAAAGGTAGCGTTTTTTTGAACAATAAAGGAATTAAGGGATACGGTGAGCACGCGGGTAAGTGGATCTGAGTCCACGAAAAGATCAGCCATGATCTTATTGAATGGCGGAGCAGGCTTGAAGGGCCAGACGGCCTACTCCTGCTCCTAGTTCTTATGTTCTTATGTTCCAACTCTTCTTTTATCCCATGCAAAACTTCATCATTCCTGCCTCTTCCCTTGACACCTCACCTTCCTACACCTTACGTCCTTTCACCCACCATCTCATGCTCTGTTCTACCTGCCCCCTCCACAATTCACCCTTAACCTCAGGGTAACCAACTCACTACTCTCCTCCACTGGTCTATGCTGGTCTGCAGCATTAGTCATTCATGATCCAACTATTGTCATCCCTGCAGCCACACTACCTTGTCTTAACTCCCTGAGTGCAATAATCGGTGAGGATCAAGAAAACAATTTTTGAAAATATATTCAACAGCCTTCAACAAGAATTTCAACAATTTAACTAGCATCTGCTGTTTTTGCATTACAGCATACTCAACTTGTTTCTGGCTTTGTTGTAGCTCTTTGACTAAAATGATGCAACTTTCAGCTCCAAGACCAGGACGATTGCAATATATCCCAAAATAACTGATCCCTGAAAGTTGCCACCCAGGTTGATAGGGTTGTTAAGAAGGCGTACGGTGTGTTAGGTTTTATTGGTAGAGGGATTGAGTTTCGGAGCCATGAGGTCATGTTGCAGCTGTACAAAACTCTGGTGCGGCTGCACATGGAGTATTGCATACAGTTCTGATCACCGCATTATAGGAAGGATGTGGAAGCATTGGAAAGGGTGCAGAGGAAATTTACCAGGATGTTGCCTGGTATGGAGGGAAGGTCTTATGAGGAAAGGCTGAGGCTGTTTTTGTTAGAGAGAAGAAGGTTAAGAGGTGACTTAATAGAGACATACAAGATGATCAGAGGATTAGATAGGGTGGACAGTGGGAGCCTTTTTCCTTGGATGGTGGTGGCTAGCACAAGGGGACATAGCTTTAAATTGAGGGGTGATAGATATAGGACAGATGTCAGAGGTAGGTTCTTTACTCAGAGAGTAGTAAGGGCGTGGAATGCGCTGCCTGCAAAAGTAGTAGACTCGCCAACTTTAAGGGCATTTAAATGGTCATTGGATAAACATATGGATGATAATGGAATAGTTTAGGTTAGATGGGCTTTAGATTGGTTTCACAGGTCGGCGCAACATCAAGGGCCGAAGGGCCTGTACTGCGCTGTAATGTTCTATGTTCTATGTTCTAATTAAAATCAGTCTACAAATGGAGAGTAAATAACATTAATGCCTGAAGGTGTTCCAACAAATTATAATCTAACAGTAAAATATTCAAGAAACATACCAATCAAGCTGCAGTCATCCGATAATCATCTGTTGCATTCACGTCTGAATATTATTTAAACATGAAACTGATTTCTCTTATCACCCATTGTAAGTGAATATTAAGGCGTCCAAGTGAGGTTACTGTATTACCTTTTCAAAGGGTCTTTCTGAAGCAATTCTTCAACCAAACCAAGAAATTCAATGGAAGGTTTTTGTCCAGTCGATTCTAACAGACAATAGTAATATTTTAGACTTGACAGCAACTTGTCCATAACTAACAGGTTATTGCGACAAAATACAATTTTCATACTGGGATAAATTCTGTTTAAAATTATTTACAAACCATACAAGTAAAATTAGATCAAGTCCAATCAAGTCACAATGAACTCAGCAAACCGAGTCTGGACTCTTCATTTGTTCTCCATTTGCAGAAACTGAACACAGTATCAGGATTGTAAGTTGACCACAGCAATGAATTGGATAGTCCAAAGGTTAGGTGGAATTGCCATGCTAAAAATTGCCCTGTAGTGTCCAGGGATGTGCAGGTTTGGTGGCTTAGCCATGGTTTAAAAAAATCCATGAGTGAATGAGGTGGGAGGGTGGGTTTGGGTAGTATGTTGTTCAGAGGGTTGGTGCAGCCTTAATGGGCCGAATGGCCTCTTTCTGCACTGCAGGGATTCTATGATATTTACCCTTAAAGATGTTTCATTTCTTGCCTGAAAGACAAATCTATTCTGCAGAATAATAGCTAGAAGAAAGAATATGTGTAAAATAGCCCATGAAGTCCTGCTATGGGAGGACCAGGAAAGAGGTCACTCAACAAGAGGATACATTAAAATATTTTCATACATCCACACAAGGATAAGTAGACTCATTTTCTCTATGTGTTAGTTATAGTGCATACAGTCATACAGTCATATAGCACGGAAACAGGTCCTTCGGCCCAACTCATCCATGCCAACCAGGTTTCCTAAACGGAATTAATCTCATTTGCCTGCATTTGGCCCATATCCCTCTAAACCCTTCCCATCCATGTACCTGTCCAAATGTCTTTTAAATGTTGTAATTGTACCCACCTCTACTACTTCCATGAGCAGCTGCTCGTTCCAAATATGCACCACCCGCTGTGCAAAAAAGTTGTCTCTTAGGTCCCTTTTAAATCTTTCCCGTTACCTTAAACCTATGCCCGCTAGTTTTGAATCCCCCTACCCTGGGGAAAAGACCTTGGCTATTCACCTTATCTACGCCCCTCATGATTTCACAAACCTCTGTAACAGACTTCTTGTAGCACTGTTAGCAGGTTCTTAAATCCAATTGACAGGCTAGGAACTTAACTGCCCAACAATCTGTTCCCAATCTCTTCTGACAATTGAGCTCAAGGATCTCCTGTCCACTCATCTTGGATGAATCGCTCATCTAACCCACCTCCACTACATTTTTGATCCTGAAGTTCTTGCTCGCTATCCTCGTGTTCCATTTTCCTTGTTCAAAACTGCAGCAATTGTATTCAACAGCTGCTTCTGGCAATTAAAAGGGTCAGACTGCCTTTAAGAACAAGAGAGCAGCTGCTCCATGTGATATTGGCACAATGGATTTAGAACTAAGGAAGAAATTATATGTTTCTCTTTCCATTGCACTCTTATGTCGAAACACAAGTCCAGTGCACATTTACAACATGTTACCCCAGGTCTTTTACTGAATATTTACATACTACACAATGAATCAGACTATGACCCATACCTATTGGAAAGGAAAATAGCGAGAGGAACAACAATATACAATTACACAGAACTATCAATGCAATAAATAACGCAGGGCACTTTGTGAATAGAAAATAAAAAGGCAAGCAGGCATCAAGCAATTGAAGTAGAGATTAAGAGGAGTGACTAGAAAATTGACCAAAAATCTGAGTTTCAAGAAACCTTTCAGAATGACTTGTAAAGAGTAAGATTAAAGCTGTCAAAGGCTCTTCCGCTAATGAAGAGGTATTACATAAACAGCTAGAGCAAGAGAATTAAAGAGTGTGGGTAAAAGTAATGTAGATACAATATTACATGGCCACAAAAAAGTTTTGGCCACGATTAGCATTTTAAATTTAATATTTTTAAGAGACCAGAAGTCAGTGCAAATCAGCAAAACTAGGATCAATGATGTGTGAATTTTGACCAAGGCAGAATTAGATCATTTGAGTTTTGGTTAAATTAGAAGTTAACGTTCGTAAAATTCCTTCCTTCCTTTACAAACATAAGATGCAAAAGTGTGGATATCCTTTGTGGCAGCAATGGGAGTGAGGCAAAGGAACAATGGTTATCTTATATTGACTTGGATTTTTTCCAAAATATTTTGAAAAATTACTGAACCTTGAGGCTTGAGTGGTGGTGGATCTTCACACAAAATCATCTCAACCAATGCAGAAAGGTTTTCCGAAAAAAATGGTGGCTTTCCTGTTGAATAAGCATAGCAGTCATAAGTAACAAACTTTGTTATCAACGCAAATGGCGGTTCTAGGTTTCAACTTTTCCATGAAGTAGTAACTCCTATGTTTGCACATTTTTCAAAATGACAGTCACATTTATCGGCAGTCTTTTGGCTCAGGTTTTAGAAAAACAAAAATGTGAAGTGGAGTCACAGAGAAAGAAGGGTGGAAAAATTGGTATTTATAGAATTCAATGTGTAAAACTTGTGACTTTTCAATACAGTCGTGGCAGAGAATAAAAGTTTCAAATGAACACGTTGAAAACCAACCTGTGAACATCTCATACAGGACACAGCCTAGAGACCATAAATCACTGACTGGAGAATAATCTTCACCTTTCAGAATTTCTGGAGCCATATAAGTTGAAGACCCTAAAAAGTAAGTTTGGATCAATTGAAACATATCAAAATAACTTGAACAGTGCACTTGAAAGAAATATGTCTTTCTTGCAGGAGGGTCAAATTTCGCAAAAAACATGAACTTAAACCAGTTGACCTAGTCTATTTTCCATGAATCAATTGAGTTATTTTCCACTTTCCAGAAGATAGGAGAAATTAGTGACATCCATTAATCTTTTTGTGACAAATATACTGTAATTCAGATAATAATTAAAATATGAACATAGTAAACCCAAAAAAAGTAGGGTTTAATTCTTAAGAAATTTGGTCTGCTTGTGTAAGGTAGCCTCAGATATGAGGCAATATAGTGATTGTGGACCACATAACAAACAATGCAGCACTCTATCACTATCATCCTGGAACGTCAGCATAAATATTGAGCTCAAATCTTTGAGTGGCTTGAAGTTAACAGTGAATTTTTTTTATTCATTAACGGGTTGAGGGCGTTGTTGGCTGGGCAGAATTTATTGCCCATCCCTAATTGCCCAGAGGGCAGCTGGAGTCACATGTAGGCCAGACCAGGTAAGGATGGTAGTTTCCTTCCCTAAAGGACATTAGTGAACAAATGGTTTTTTCTCGACAATCGACAATGGATTCATGATTCCAGGTATTTTATTGAATTCAAATTCAATCATCTGCCGTGACAGGATTTGAACCCAGGTCCCCAGAATGTTAGCTGGGTCTCTGGATTAACAGTCCAGCGATAATACCTCCAGGCCATCGCCTCCCCTATGCCGAGCCAATTAACTGACACTTTTATTTAATACAGCTCATTAATCAATTTTGTTAGAAATGTAATTCTGAAACCACAAGTATTTACAATAAATTCATAAGTGATCTATTAACTGAAACCTTACAGCCTACCATGAATAAACATCAGAGATGGCTTTTAACCAGAGATGTTCAGAAGACTCATACAGAAGTGTAAAAAATAGGACAGGATAAGAGAACCCACTTTACCGATGTTTGGCTGCACCAGTGTCCAATTTTATTCCTTGCAACAGTTCAGGAAAATAGTCCGAAATTTTGCAACAGCTTATCTTTTTTGGATGAGTCAGCTAACAAGTCACTACCAGGCATACAACCGAATCATTCAGATGCAGAGGGCTGGTTGTTCACACCGCATTACCTGATCTCAGCTTAAATACTTATAGGATGTATTAGATTGGTCTTAGAGTTTAACTGTGAGAGAGGCATTAAGAATATAAGACACATTCCCAATCCTGATAATTATTCACTGCGTATTGCCAAGAAGTGCACATTTGAACTTCGGGTGAGGACAGAGTCAAACTCAACTCTGACGAAGAGGTGTCAAGCTGAACCCTAAACTCTGTTCCTCTCTACACAGATGCTGCCTAAACTGCATATTTGGATTTTACTATCAGCTATGATGAGATAAACTATGGTTTAAAGGTGATTTCGAATTTCATATCATGTATCAATCTTTTTTAGGAGTACTGCGTGAGGGATTGTTACCTCGGGCCCGAATTTTAGACTTTGTTCTTTCTGTGCCATTATTGCTTTCAACCAAGTCATCTTCTCCACTAATTAATGAAAAGAATTCATCCAGATTCTCTCCTTCTGCTTTGGCTAGACTGAAGTTACTATATTTCAGTGTGCCTGATCCATCCAGTAATATCTGTATAAAGAAAAGGACGTGAGAAACTGGCAATGCCACAAGTGAAAGACATCTTTTGAACAGCACATTCAATCTTCAAAAAATTAATTTTCAAAATAAAACTGGTACCATCTTTTGTGCCACAGTGGGATTTAAATTTATGTCTTTATAAGCTATCTGGTGGAATATCATTTACTGCAGCAACTTACTTATCCAGTACATTTAACACAGTAAAATGTCACACAGCAATTTAGAGTTCCAAAAGGAGGGAAAAAAAATTAATGTCAAGCCAAAGAAGATATTGGGAGTGGTGACTGGAAGCTTGCCCAAGGTTTCAAAGGAAGGCATGGAATTGCTTCTCTCAAACGATCATGAATCTCTGGAATTCACTACCCAAGATTTGGCGGTCACCAGGACACTGAATAAATTTAAGCAGGATACAGAAAGATTTTTAATTAGTAATGGAGCAGGCAGGAAAGTGGAGTTGAGATCCAATTAAACGGTGCAGCAGGCTCGAGGGACTGAGTTGCTTACTCCTGTTCGTAGTTCTTATGTTCATGGAGGATGGGGTGGGGAGCATGATGATGCAACAGAGGCGTAAGTTGAGATGGTGGTTGTGGGAGTCCAATGCAGTAGGTCTAAGGCATTCGATTTCATGGGTTGGCATCAGTGGGGTATGGGAGCAAGAGGCTGAGGGGTGTGACAGGAGGAATGTTTTATTTTTTAATCTTTATTTTTAAACTTTGAACACAGAGAGGAAGATCCCAGTTTTTCGCCTTTTCTGTCTTTTCACCAGGCATCCTCTTCAGCTCCTTCTTGGTTGTCCACCTAACTTCCAATTCCACACTCCTGTACCAATCGTGGAACATTCAGGCAACCAGATCTAAAGCTCGGGTTTATGGAGCTGGGAATTCTCCCATCTCTGTGCACTTGAACCAGGAACAAAAATCAGATCACAAGTGTTGCAAACTGCAAAGCAATGTTCCCACAGCAAAAATGCTAAAACTTAAAAACCAAATGCATCTATTCTTCTACTATCGCTAAAACTCTGAACGTTATCTTATACAATAATATCCATTTACCTTAGCAGGATTAAGATCACAAAAAATGATGCCCAGCTCATGAATATGGCGCAAACCCATCACCAAGTCAACACCAAACTGTCTAACTATATTTTCATGTAAATATTCATCTTGGGCAATGACCATTGCCAATGACCCTCCTGCAATGAACAACATAGGATTAATGGTATGAAGATGGTAGTAAAAACACAAGAGAATACAACCTAGCTGACGTTTCGGGCCTAGACCCGTCTGAATTTCTGAAGAAGGGTCTAAGCCCAAAACGTCAGCCTTCCTGCTCCTCTGATGCTGCTTGGCCTGCTGTGTTCATCCAGCTCTACACCTTGTTATCTCATAACTTTTTAGTGTTTCCTTCGCAACTCCTTCCTGAATAATTCAATGTATGACCTTTTATTGTTTTATGGGACAGAATAAATGAAAAACAAAATGAATGAACAGATCATTACTTATCTGTCAGTTTCACTTCTTTTAATTCAGCGAATATGGATATTATTGGCTGGGCCAGTATTTATCTATTGTCTATTCAAAATTGCTCTCAAGAAGGTGATGTTGAATTGCAGTTCATTTGGTCATAGCGCTGTTAGGGAGTTCCAGGATTTCAGCCAGGTAACAGCCAGGTACCAGCGATCTAGATCCAAGTAAGGATAGTGTGTCTTTTAGAGAGGAACATGCAGTTCATAGTGTTCCTATGTATCTGATGCCCTTGGCCTTCTCGATAGTACTAGTCATAGATTTGGAAGGTGCTGTCGAAACAGCCTTGGTGAACTTTTGCAGTGCATGTTGTAGGTGACATTTTATCAAAAGTCAAGGATGCTAAGGCTCTCAATTGACTCCTTTTGCATGACTTTTATTAACAATTCATAAGAAGAATCTGTCATGCTAAATTCCACACTTAGTATTTAAAAATGAACCAAACAGATTGGAATTACGAAGCTATCATTTTTGCGGTTGTGATCTATATCTGCAGTTGATGTAAAGACTGTCTTGAGCACAGAAAATCTTATTCAGAAAGAGTAACTCAAAGCATTCAAGGTGCCTCTCAATGATTACTCTGAACTACAGATTGTTTGTGAAATCAAAGACCTCAGATTGAATGAATGAACTAGAGAAGCAATCCCAAGCCTAGTCATAAAATCTTATTTCATCCAAGTTATAAGAACTAGAGATGTTGTGATGAACTGTTAACTTGGTTGTGCTGAAGTCCCAGAACAACCTTTTTGCTTAGAAATGAAAGTTCTACCAACTGAGTAAACACAAGTAAAAGTTTCTCTAACAAATAATCTCAATATTTGGTAAAACTATTCAAAACGTAAATTTTTTCAGACTTGTGTAGGGAATGCACAACTACTCAAACCAACAATGTAAAATGGTAACATCTTTACATATACTTAAAGCCTCTGCGTAATATTTTAAATGACACTTGAATTACCTGTGCACAGTTCCACAACAAGCCATAGGTGATTGCTAGTTTCATACCACTCATGAAATTGTACAATGTTCTGATGATCAACGCCATGAGTAAGTCGGACCTATATGAAATATACATTTCCAAATCAAATGCATACTTTTTTGTGATTAAGCAAAACACTATTTGTTTTCATAAACTGAGGAACCATGATGGAAGGTGAATACTCACGAAGTAGGAATCGAGTTTGAAATGCACAGGACAAAAGATAGGGCAAATCAAGAAAGATGGATTAGGATAGCAGGAAAAGATAAACATTAGGGAAACCCACACCTGGCAAGTAACGAGAATGAATAAATTAGACACAGTAATTATTACAAATTAATATGTCTTACTTTCAAAATTTCAAGGATATGAGGTGGGGTGGGTCGAAGGTAGATTGACATATTTGAAGCATCAAGAAAATAACCTTAAAGGTACTTCTTTTATCACAGCGTGGTATGGCAATTGCTCTTCCCAAGGCCGAAAGAAACTGCAGACAGTTGTAACACAGCCCAGTCCATTGTGCAAACCAGCCTCCCATCCATTGACTTAATTGACACTTCCCGCTGCTTCTCGAAAGCAACCAACATAATTAAAGACCCTTCCCACCCCAGTTATGCTCTCTTCCACCCTGTTCAGTCAGGCAGAAGATATAAAAGTTCGTATACATGTATAAACACGTTCAAGAACAGCTTCTTCCCCACTGTTATCAGGCTTTTCAATGGACCTCTTTCACGTTAATGTTGATCTCTCTCTGGACTTCTTGGCAGCTGTAATATTGTATCCTGTACTCTGTTCTGTTACCCTGATGCACTTGAATAGTATGATCTACCTGTAAAGCATGTATGGCAACACTTTTCACTGTACCTTGGTACCGTGATAATAATAAATCAAATCAAATCAAAGCAATATCAGTAAAAAGAAAGACAGCAGAACAAGATATAGGAACAGGGAAAAAGAGATATTCCTTGGAGGTTTGGCAGAGTTTTTGTCTTACATCCTGTATGGGAATGCAAGAAAGTTGCTAGGAGTCCAACATATCCAACAACAATACACTTGTCCTAGGCACAATTTCTTCAAGGCCATTCTCAAACAACAATTACCATTCAGATTATGCCTTCAACATATTAAAATGTCCCAAGGCACTTCACAGCTGTGTAAATAGACAATGTTCAACAATGAACGACATATGGCGACATTACTGTTGACCAGAGGATTGGTCAAAGAGATTGAATTTAAAAGCACCTGAAAGGAGACAGCCAGAGAGATTTAGGAATAAAAGGGCTGAAACAACTGAAACCACGAGCATTACCAAAAGAGCAAAATAAATTGGGAAGGCGCAACAAGTCATAATGGATGGCAGGAGAATTATCGCCAAATTGTGGAGGTTACAAAGGGAGACAGGGATTTGAACACAAGGATGCATTATTGAAATTTGAAGCGCTACCATATTGTGGTAGCAGTATGGTGGTTCAGTGGTTAGCACTGCTGTCTCACAGCGCCAGGGACCCAGTTTCAATTCTAACCTTGGGCAACTGTCTGTATGGAGTATGCACAAGTATCTGTGTGAGTTTCCTCTGGGTGCTCCGCTTTCCTCCCACAGTCTAAAGATGTATAGGTTAGGTGGATTGCTAATTTGTCCCATAATGTACAGAGTTGCACAGGCTAGGTGGGTTAGCCATGGTAAATGCAGGGTTACAGGGATAGGGTAGAGGGTTGGGTCTGAGTGGGATGCACTTTGGAGGGTCAATGCGGACTCGATAGGCAGAATGGCCTCTTTCAGCACTGTAGGGATTCTATGATTCTATATTGGGAATTAACAATGTAATGATGGGTGAACAGAACTTGGTCAAGTCAGGATAAAGGCAACTGAAGTTTGGATGAGCTCAACATTTTGGGAGATGGTGGGCCGGTCAGAAAGCATTGAACAACTTTTTAAGTCTGGAGCTATAAAAATCTTTAAAGATTTACAGAAATGTGTGTCCCATTTCAGCTTACAACGCAGAGTGATATTTTCAATTTGATTAAGGCTCTCAGAGCATTAACGACAAGATACAAGGTTCAATTTCTACTCTATATGGGGTTATTGGCTCTCGATCAGGACAACAGGTGGCGCATGAAAAGTAGCTTCCTGGCGTATGAAAAGTGAGAAAAGTATCAGTTGTGGTTCCCTCACGTGATCATTTTCTTTTTATTCAGTCATGAAATGTGAGCATCTCTGCTATGGCCAGTATTTACTGCCCATACCTCATTGCCCAGAGGGCTGTTAAGAGTCAACCACACTGCTGTGATTCTGGAGTGACATGTAGACCAGATTAGGTAAAGATGGCAGATTTCCTTCCCTAAAGGACACTGGTGCACACGATGGTTTTTCCCAACAATCAACAATGGTTTCATGGTCATCATTAGACCCTTATTTCTACCATGTCCCCAGAATATTAGCTGAGTTTCTCAATTAATAGTCCAGCAATAATACCACGACGCCATTGCCTCCGTTATTGGGAAATATTAGCTAAAGACAAGCTATGACTCAGCTGTGTCACCACCCAGTTAAATGATGGCCATGGGTGCACTCTTTCCTTTGAGCCAACAGTCATGTTCCACGCCAGAGACATAAGTGCATGAGCTTTACCAACAAATCAGTGCAGGACTGTGGAAGTGCTGCAGTGTTGAAGGCGCCAACTCTTGGAGGAGACTTTAAACTTAACTTTATCCTCCTGAAGATATTATTTTAAAGAGCAAGGGGTGTTCTTCCCAGTGTCCAGGTTAATATTTATCACTAAGTAACACCTGAAAATAGCTTGTTCATTATTTCATTGCTTTTAATTGCACCATACAAATTGACTGCTGTATTGTCCTCCATCACAACAGTGACTACACTTCAAAAATAATTTGTTGCTGTAAAGTGACGTCTTGAGATTGTGAAAGATACAATATAAATGTAAGTTTTTCCGTTAGTGGCTTTTCCCTGATAACGTTTACAAAGTAATAGGAATGTACAGCACGGAAACGGAACCTCCGGTCAACTCGTCCATGTCAACCAGATATCCTGGGTAAATCTAGACCCATTTGCCAGCATTTGGCGTATATCCCTCTAAACCCTTCCTATTCATATACCCATCCAGATGCCTTTTAAATGCTGCAATTACACCAGCCTCAGAGATAGTAGGAACTGCAGATGCTGGAGAATCCGAGACTGGGAAGTGCAGTTGTTTATTGCGAACCGAGCGTAGGTGTTCTGCAAAGCAGTCCCCAAGCCTCCGCTTGGTTTCCCCAATGTAGAGGAGGCCACAACAGGAACAGCGGATGCAGTATACCACATTAGCAGATGTGCAGGTGAACATCTGCTTGATGTAGCAAGTCTTCTTGGGGCCTGGCATGGGGGTGAGGGGGGAGGTGTAGGGGCAGGTGTAGCACTTCCTGTGGTTGCAGGGAAAAGTGCCGGGTGTGGTGGGGCTGGAGGGGAGTGTGGAGCGGACAAGGGAGTCACGGAGAGAGTGGTCCCTCCTGAAAGCAGATAAGGGTGGGGAAGGAAAGATGTCTTTGGTGGTGGGGTTGGATTGCAGATGGCGGAAGTGTCGGAGGATGATGCGTTGGATCCGGAGGTTGGTGGGGTGGTACGTGAGGACGAGGGGGAATTCTGTTTTGGTTGCTATTGCGGGGAGGGGGTGTGAGGGATGAGACACGGTCGAGGGCGTTCTCGACCACTGAGGTGGGGGGGAAGTTGCGGTCCTTGAAAAACGAGGACATCGGAGATGTACAGGAGTGGAATGCCTCATCCCGGGAGCCGATGCGGGACCGCTTTGCAGAACACCTACGCTCGGTTCGCACTAAACGACTGCACCTCCCAGTCGCGAACCATTTCAACTCCCCCTCCCATTCCTCAGGTGACATGTCCATCCTGGGCCTCCTGCAGTGCACAACGATGCTACCCGAAGGTTGCAGGAACAGCAACTCATATTCCGCTTGGGAACCCTGCAGCCCAATGGTATCAATGTGGATTTCACAAGCTTCAAAATCTCCCCTCCCCCTACCGCATCCCAAAACCAGTCCAGCTCGTCCCTGCCTCCCTAACCTGTTCTTCCTCCCACCTATCCCCTCCTCC